ACACCCAAAAAATTTTTTTTTAATCCCCCTTAAGCTTAAATTTAATACATTTATAGTCCCTCTTTTCCTGCCCTAGTTTTTCCTTCAACCCTTTTTGTTTCTCCTCCTTTAGCTCTAAAATCTATTTGAAACCCCCGCCTAATCCCGTTTTTTTCCTTCAAATTTTAAAAATCTCCACCCCGTTTTGCTTTGTTTCACTTTTTAAAACCCGGAAAATCCCGCTTCTTTCTCATTCTTAACTCCCGTCATCTCTTTTTTTTCATTCGCACAAAATCCCGCACCTTCAGACATCCCCCTTTAAAATTTTCTTCTTATTTTTTTTCAGTAATTATTGCAGGGAAAGGGGGGTTTCTAGCCCCTTGTTTCCCGGCATTTTGTCGAGTTTTACCAAAACCCCCCTGGGTTTTCGGAGGAAAGATTTTATTCCACTTTTTCCCCGGGTATAAAGGAAAAAATTAATGCCCCCTTCCCTTTATTATTTTTTCTTTCAAAAACACCGGGGGTATCCCACGGAGGGAGGGTTTGGGCCCCAAAAAGGGAAAAACCCAAAGTTTATCCTTTTAAAATTTAGTTTAAAATTTTACAGGAGAAGGGGTTAATAGCCCCTTTTTCCCGGTAATTTTTGTCGCCTTTAAAATGCATGGCTTAGGGAGGAAAGAATTTTCCCGTTCCCCTTTCCCCCTGGAGGTAAGACAGAATAAACTTTGAAAATAGTAACAAAAAAGAAAAAAAACCCAAAGAGGGGTATTTTAAAATCTCTTTCTTTAAAAAACCCGGGCCCCTATCCCCCCGAGGCGGGGGGGCCCCAAAAGAAAAAAACCAAAATTTCTCCTTTTAAAATTTAGTAATATATAAAGGAGAAGGGGGTTTCTAGCCCCCTTTCTCCCGGCATTTTAGTCGCCTCTTACAACGGCAGGTTACGGAGGAAGAATTTGTTCCACTTTCCCCAGGGATAAGAGGAAAAAAAACAAGAAAAGAGAACTAGAAAAAAAATAAAAAAGAAAAAACCCGAGGGGTATGTTATATGCTTTTTACATGTTGTGTTTGTGTGAAACCCATGTGTAAGTAAAAATAGCAAGAATATTGTAATCTTGCATAATTTTTGGACAGACCCAAAACACCCCAATCCTACCATATGTAAAATTTAAATTTCAGGCTCTCATTTTACACTCACTTGGCAGGACGGTTTTGCACAGTGGAAAACCTTTAGTTTTAAAATTTCCCTTTGTTGAGAAAATTATCTATAAAGTTTTTTTTTTTTTTTTTTTATTTTTGGGTGTCCCGAAAAGGAACCAATTAAAACTGTTACAGACCCCCCAAAAATATTAAAAAAAATACATTTTTTTAGGGGAATTTTCTCTAGCTAGGACATGTGAAAATCGAGGTTTCCCCTGTTTCTCCCCGGGTGTTGCCCCTTACGAGCGTACTTAAACCCATATTGAGACTAAAAATTTTATATTTAAAATATATTTAAAAAACCCAAAAAATTAAAAAATTGGGGCTGGTGGTTTAAATGAGGAAAAATCCTTTATTATTTTAAGGAAAATTTTAGCTTTTCATTTTATGGGGGGTTTTTTGGGGAAAAAAAAAATGACAGAAGCAAATTTGCAGTGGGGCCCCTACCCCCAAAAACCCCCACCACCAATAATTTTTGGGGTTTTGTTTAAATTATTTTATTGGGAAAAAATTTTTCTCTTTTTAAGTACAGTAGTTTTATAAGTATTTATTTTTTTAAAAATTGGCAGAAAACAAATTTTTGCTTTTTTCTCATTATTTTTTACAATTTTACAATTTTGTACTTAAAGGCTAGGAATAAAGTAACTTTTTTTTTTTATCTTTAAGTTTGAATCACATCAACCGTATTTTTTAAAAAAAAAACATCTGTATTTTAACCCATATGAGATGAAAAGGGATGACAACAATTATCATCCACGAGTGACTTCAAAGAAAAACACCCAAATTTTGGTGAGACAGTTTCCCCGTATGAAGTTGTTTTGAGAGACTAGATCACAGAGAAATCAGATTTGAAGATGGGGAAACAGATTTTAAAGCCCCCTTCACTGAAATTTCCCGACAGCAGCAAAGAAGGGCATTTTATACCTTCCCAAAAGCCCAACCAAACCCCTGGTGTTCACAGCAGGTTTGCGGGAAAAAAAAAATCTGGTTTTTGGGAAAAACCCGTTTTTCCCAAATAGTTTAAATTATGATAATTAGGGGACTTTTGAAAAAAGCTAAAACCTGATTAGTTAATAGTGATGAACTGAGAATTACTTAATTTTTGGGGAAAAATTTTAAGGGGGGTGCGGGGGTCATTCTTACTTATATTAATGAAAAAAAATATGCTGTACTGTTGTTTTTATATACAGTAATTTTTTATATAGGGCCCGTTTGAATAAAGGGTAAAAAATATTTTTTCAACACACTGGCCCTATCCCACCCAGGGAGGGGTGGCCCAAAAGGAGAAACAAAAATTTTCCTTTTACAAATTTTGTAAAATATAAAAGGAGAAGGGGTTACTAGCCCCCTTTCTCCCGGGGATTTTAGTCGCCTTTACAAAAACGCATGGTTTTCGGGGGGAAAAATTTGTTCCACTTCCCCCTGGGATAAGAAGAAATAAAACCCGAACAAGAATAAAAAAGAAAATAGAAGGGAAAACCCCGAGGGGGTGTGTTTTTATATGCTTGTACATGTTTTGTGTAGTGTGACCTAAGTGTAAGTAGAAAGCCCCGTTCCGAAAACTTGCATGTTTAAAAGAGACAAAAAACAACCCGCAATCCTAAACCCCCAGTAAAACAATTTACAGGCTTTCGTTTTACACTTGCTACCGTCCTGCCAAGCGAGTGTAAAACGAAAGCCTGTAATTGTTTTACATGGTGGTAGGATTGCTGATGTCTTTTGTCTGTCTCATAAACATGCAAGATTTCAGGTACGTCTTGCTACTTCTACTTACACTTAGGTCACACTACACATACATGTACAAGCATATATATACACTCCCCTCTGGGATTTCTGTTATTTTCTTTCTAGTTCTTGTTCTTGTTTGTTTCCTCTTATCTCCATGGGGAAGTGGAACAGAATTCTTCCTCCGTAAGCCAAGCGTGTTGTAAGAGGCGACTAAAATGCCGGGAGCAAGGGGCTAGTAACCCTTTCTCCTGTATAAATTACTTAATCTACTTGATCTACACATCCCCTACCCACTCTGAAGCCTCCCTGCTCATCCGCAATCCTACATTCTGTCTTGCCTCTAATTCTTTCAATTATAACCCTACCGTACACTTTTCCTGGTATACTCAGTAAACTTATTCCTCTATAATTTTTACAGTCTCTTTTGTCCCCTTTCCCTTTACATAAAGGGACTATACATGCTCTCCACCAATCCCTAGGTACCTTCCCCTCTTTCATACATTTATTAAGCAAAAGTACCAACCACTCCAACACTATATCCCCCCCTGCTTTTAACATTTCTGTCATGATCCCATCAGTTCCAGCTGCTTTACCCCCTTTCATTTTACGTAATGCCTCGCGTACCTCCCCCCACACTTACATTCTGCTCTTCTTCACTCCTAAAAGATGGTATACCTCCCTGACCAGTGCATGAAATTACTGCCTCTGTTTCTTCCGTAACATTTAAAAGTTCCTCAAAATATTCTCGCCATCTACCTAATACCTCCATCTCTCCATCTACTAACTCCCCTACTCTGTTTTTTAACTGACAAATCCATACTTTCCCAGGCTTTCTTAACTTGTTTAACTCACTCCATAAATTTTTTCTTATTTTCATTAAAATTTCTTGACAGTGCCTCTCCCACTCTATCCTCTGCTCTCCTTTTGCACTCTCTCACCACTCCTTCACTTTCTTTTACTTCTCCATATACTCTGCTCTTCTTATAAACACTTCTGCTTGTAAAAACCTCTCATAAGCTACCTTTTTCTCTTATTTTATATATTATATATATATATATATATATATATATATATAATGTATGAAAGTATAGTAGTACCAACACTCTTATATGGATGTGAAGCTTGGGTGGTAAATGCAGCAGCGAGGAGACAGTTGGAGGCAGTGGAGATGTCCTGTCTAAGGGCAATGTGTGGTGTAAATATTATGCAGAAAATTCGGAGTGTGGAAATTAGGAGAAGGTGTGGAGTTAATAAAAGCATTAGTCAGAGGGCAGAAGAGGGGTTGTTGAGGTGGTTTGGTCATTTAGAGAGAATGGATCAAAGTAGAATGACATGGAAAGCATATAAATCTATAGGGGAAGGAAAGAGGGGTAGGGGTCGTCTCGAAAGGGATGGAAAGAGGGGGTAAAGGAGGTTTTGTGGGCGAGGGGCTTGGACTTCCAGCAAGCATGCATGAGCGTGTTAGATAGGAGTGAATGGAGATGAATGATACTTGGGACCTGACGATCTGTTGGAGTGTGAGCAGGGTAATATTTAGTGAAGGGATTCAGGGAAACCGGTTATTTTCATATAGTCGGACTTGAGTCCTGGAAATGGGAAGTACAATGCCTGCACTTTAAAGGAGGGGTTTGGGATATTGGCAGTTTGGAGGGATATGTTGTGTATCTTTATACGTATATGCTTCTAAACTGTTGTATTCTGGAGCACCTCTGCAAAAGCAGTGATAATGTGTGAGTGTGGTGAAAGTGTTGAATGATGATGAAAGTATTTTCTTTTTGGGGATTTTCTTTCTTTTTTGGGTCACCCTGCCTCGGTGGGAGACGACTGACTTGTTGGAAAAAAAAAAAAAAATTATATATATATATATATATATATATATATATATATATATATATATATATATATATATATATATATATATATATATATATAATATATATATTATATATATATATATATATATTTGTATATATATTTGTATTCTAATGAATAACATATTTCTACAGTACTAGTAAAGACAAAAGCAAACTTGCCATACTCTGTGCATCACAATTTTGGCCATGGTAAGATTATAATATAGTATCTTTTTTAAACAGAACATAGCAACAATGAAGAGGAACCCAGACCTGAGCCTCCCAAAAAGAGAGGACCTGGTCGGCCCCGCAAACCAGGTGAGATTTCATTCGTCAAATTAATCTTCATAATAGGATCAATACTTTCTGTGGCACTTTATTGGATAGTGAGTAGTATATCTTGACAAAAATCTAGGAAAAATAATTATACAAGATTTCTTGAACTTGCAGAAAATGAATTAAAGAAGAAGAAAAAGAAAACTGGCCGTTTGTGGGAGTTCATACGAAACTTGCTTCTGGACCCAGCAACATGCCCTTCATTAGTTCGATGGGAAAACCCCGAGGAAGGAATGTTCAGATTTGTGCAGGCAGAGAAAGTTGCACAAAAGTGGGGAGATCGCAAACAAAATAAAGATATGAACTACGAAAAGCTGAGCCGTGCCATGAGGTTTGTTTTTTCTTAGTATGTTAATTGTGAGGTGTTTATAAATTTGCAAACAGTGGCTCTGTTGAAGGAAGCCAGTAACTTGTGAAGGGTCCTCCCTATTTTCATTAAGTGGATGTATAATAAATGTTAACATTTCTTGCTTTGAAGGCTTGAACAGTTAAGACTGATAAGTTTATTATTTTCTGTGTAGTAGCAGGAGTTCCTGTTATGTTTTTTGTGCACTGTGGCTTGACAGGCTGTAAATTGTGACTAATAATGCTACACTATAAGAGATAAGATAAGATTTCGTTCGGATTTTTAACCCCGGAGGGTTAGCCACCCAGGATAACCCAAGAAAGTCAGTGCGTCATCGAGGACTGTCTAACTTATTTCCATTGGGGTCCTTAATCTTGTCCCCCAGGATGCGACCCACACCAGTCGACTAACACCCAGGTACCTATTTGCTGCTAGGTGAACAGGTGTAAGGAAACGTGTCGAATGTTTCCTCCCGCCGGGAATCGAACCCGGGCCCTCCGTGTGTGAAGCGGGAGCTTTAGCCACCAGGCCACCGGGCCACCTATACATCTTCAAAGTGGCAGAATGTTTGATAAAGTGTCAGTTATGTAGCCCTCAGTCTTCTGTAGCTACTAATAAATGAATATTACAGAATGCCAGTTGGTACCCTACATTGAGATTTTCCTAGTGATACAATCTTTTTCTAAAAGCAGTCTCTAAGTTTGAATGCATTAGTAAATTCTGGAATGCTCAAGGTATCAAGTTGAATGTGATAATCTTCATGCATTGATACTCAGTTCATGTTTGATAATTAGTTAGTGTTTTTCTGGGGGGATGGGAGGTATCTATATGATTGTGCTACATTCAAAGATTGATAAAGTACTGTATAACTCAAAAGCCTTTTCTCACATTATTATTATTATTATTATATTTACAAAAAATCTAACGATTTTTCTTGAAGATTTGGGGATTGGGTCTTATGCTAGCAGACTCTTGATCCAAGGAATTAGAGCTACCCTCTCCTTTTTTGGATCAAACATGGATCACTTCCCATTCCCTGGTGCAGAATGACCCTTATGGGTGTAGCATTTTGCCGTAAATATAACAATTATAATAGAGATTTACCAAGTGTGACTGGCAGGGGTTTATTTAATAAGGAATTTGAAATATTAAACCTCTTAACTAAATTACTTAGACTTGCACATTTTAAATATATTTGCCATTGTTTTATAGTATGTTATTCTTTCAGGTATTATTATAAAACTGAAATATTTGAAGCTGTCCTTGGAAGAAGATTAGTTTACAAATTTGGCAAAAATGCCAAGAACTGGAGACCTTCTAACCCAAACTTCCCAGACCACCAGACTCCTTAATGACAAAGATCCTACTACCATGGTGAGCTGTGTGTGTTCATTTTAATTGTTTGCATCTAGTCCAGTTATCACAAGATTTGTTAAATCAGCAATTTAAAATGGGTGTACAATAGGGCCTCACTTATACAGCAGGTTAGGTTCCAGGCTACTGCTGTAAAGCAGAAAACCATTTTTTTCCATTTATGAATGCCAGATAACAAGTTTTCACTAACATATATTAAGTTAACAGTAAGATTGGGTATTAACCCTTTCAGGGTCCGTCCCGTAGATCTACGGCTTTACGTTCAGTGTCCAAACCATAGATCTACGTCATAAGCTCAGCTCACTCTGATAAACTGTGAGTGGTACATTTGGGCCTAGATATGAGAGAATACATCTATGTGGTATGTGTGCACCACATAAAACAGATCCTGCAGCACACTGGTATAATGAGAGAAAAAAAATGAAATCATGATTTTTCGATTAAAACAGCGATTTTGCAGTGTTTTTTTGTATGTTTTTTGTAGTTGTATTTGCGATTTCTTAGTCTTATTTGGTAGAATGGAAGACATATTACAGAAATGGAGATGATTTTGATTGGTTTTAGCACTGGAAATGGCTTGGAACTGAGCTCAAAGTAGCAGAAATGTTAAATTTTTGCCGATGTTCAAGCGTAAACAAACGACCTCACACGTCTAATACACGCCAGCTGGTGGGTCTAATATGCATTCACGAATATGGTGATGATATTTATACAATTATTACAGTATTGCATAACAGTAAATCTTCTATTTTTTGGTGTGAATAAAAATTCATTTTGTGAATAAAAAATCAAAATGGAATTTATTTGTAAAGCCTCAAAACGTAACTAATGAACAGAGGAAATGTTAGTTTAGTTCCAGGAATGAAGATGAATGGTTCAGAGAACCGACATGTTGATAAATTAGACACATGTGCAACTCTTGGGTATCTTTATTGAGGAAACGTTTCGCCACACAGTGGCTTCATCAGTCCATACGTAGGAGAAACTTGAAGAACAGGAGGAGAATGAGGTAATCAGTCCCTCAACCTTGAGTCGATGTGTTCAGTCCATCAATCTTGAATAGAATACGGCATATCAGCGGAGAAGCAGCTTATAAACTGTATGGCAGGAGAGGTGCAGCAGTCATAGGTCGTGTCACATTTGTTCAATGTGGAAGTAGGTCGTGCCCAAGAATTAGGCAAGCGAAGAATTCCTAAGTATTAAGATCCCAAGAAGTTGCAGTGTCTGACAGATTTGAAGATGAATGGTTCAGAGAACCGACATGTTGACAAATTAGACACATGTACAACTCTTGGGTATCTTTATTGAGGAAACGTTTCGCCACACAGTGGCTTCATCAGTCCAAACGTAGGAGAAACTTGAAGAACAGGAGGAGAATGACTCAAGGTTGAGGGACTGATTACCTCATTCTCCTCCTGTTCTTCAAGTTTCTCCTACGTATGGACTGATGAAGCCACTGTGTGGCGAAACGTTTCCTCAATAAAGATACCCAAGAGTTGCACATGTGTCTAATTTATCAACAGTTCCAGTAATACCTACATTGTTTATTCTGGACCCCCCCCCCCCCCCCCCCCCCCGCTGTATAGCCCTTGTGGCTTAGCGCTTCTTTTTGATTATAATAATAATTATTCTGGACCCTATTTTGAAATTGGAATATTTTGAACTTTGTGTTAAATTGGCCAAATTAATAATTTCCGATCACTTTAATTTGTAGTTGAAACAGTTGACTTGGCGATTTCTTGTGCTCAATCGATGGAATAGAAGTAATACTAGTGAAATAGCTAAGAATTTGGTTGACTGGAATAATGTAATTGGCCTAAAATGGGAGTCAAAGTCGGCAAAATCGCCGCTTCGTAAATATCGCTGACACATCAAAAGTCGCGAGAGCATAATTTCGTCAATTTTCCATCAAATTTCATACTTTTTGTTTTATTACCTTCACAAAAAGATTCTCTTCCATTTCATAAGAAAAAATAATTTTTTTTTGAAAATTCTTGGACACTGGGGCACCACTTCAGATTTGGGCCTTGGACCCTGAAGGGGTTAAAAAAACAACAAAAATTAAAATACGTACACAGCACAGTGGTACCCCAAGTTTCAGCCATAATTCATTCCAGAAGGGTGTTCGAGTGCCGTTACAGAACGAATTTGTTCTCATGAGGAATAATGTAAATTAGATTAGTCAGTTTCAGACCCCCAAAAATTCACTTACAAAAGCACTTACAATAATACACTTACATAATTGTTTAACCCTTTCAGGGTCGCCAGGCCCTCTCCGAGACTTGTCCTCAGGGTCGTCAAATTTAAAAAAAAAAAAAAAATTCTTTTTTCTTATGAAAACATAATTTTTTTTTTTAATATTATAGGCTAAACAAAAAATTTTTACCATCAATACTTACCAAGATATGGAGGCGTGAAGTTGACAGAAAATGCCCGGTATATGGTAAAATCGCCGACACCCAAAAATTTTTTTTTAAAATTTGGGGTTTCCATTATTTTTTAATTTTTTTTTTAGTCTTTTAGGTGTAGAAATATAAAAAATTTTTTAAAAAAAAAAAATTCTTTTTATATAC